AGGTATAATTTCAGTATATTTTGTTCATAGTAATAGAATTTTCAGTATATTTTGTTGATAGTAATAGAATTTCAGTACATTTTTTTGCCTTCATTTCCGTAATGGTTGTCTACAAAAAGAAAATATAAATGGTTGTAATGTCGTGCAGAGTACATCAACATCGATGAAAGGACCTAGGCCGAGATCGAGGAAAACCACTACTGCACAAGATACAAATGTCTTTAAAGCATCTCAGCAAGCATTTTCCTCCATACCCACACCTGTGCCATATTCGCAACTTATGTTGGTAAGTAAATATCGTTATGTGTTATACTCAAAATTCTTCAATACAATTTCAATTGTGCTCTTCTTCGAATTATATTTAATCGTGCTATTCTTCCTGCAGCCATTCCAGCAACTGATATCAACCCCTCAAAGTGCTGTACCAAGTTGGATGTCAGTTGCCACCCGTTCCATTCCTCCTGCTACACTTGTTGCAGGTCCTTTTGCTCACGTGCTTACTCCGAGTTCTGGAATGACTTATCAAGCGCGTGGTGTTGGAATGGACTGTCAACTAGATGGTTCTTCGGTCCAGGAACATCAATAGGCGTGTGTTTTTAGTACTCTTGTAACATATGTTTGTACTGATTAATTATGATGGCATTTATGAACAGGAAATTCCTTTTACATGATGGTGCTTATTTTCATATTTATGTTTATTCACTGTTACCAGCGTAGTTTAACCTAGAGCTATTCAACAAACAAGCAAAAATGCTATAGCAAAACAGATAATCCAAACAAATAAAGCTACTTCATAATAAGTCGTACAAACTACGGCATACTACGTTTTCAGCGAAAACAAACGTTTGAAGCACAATTATATTACATTGAATGTCAGATTCATTCATTCTACAACTTTTTTCCCCTTACACATCTTTATGTTGAGGGATATCTCCAAGTCCTTCTCATTCGTCAGCTTGGCAAGAGTTTTCAACATACTCGACAAATCATCGACCGGCTCACCTCCGTTCGTAATGCCACTAGATGCACCACCATCATGCAAAGGACATTTTTCGTCGAGACCATTTTTGCACCATTTAAAGTACTTGCAGTCGCGGGTACAACAATGAAACAATAGCCCTTTACGTTCATTGTTCTTTTCCACCTCCATCCATTTGATGTAGCCCTCACCACAGTTTGGGCATCTTCTCTTTTTGGGGCATTCCGACAACATATGTCCAACCTGTCTGCAAGAATGACAAATTCCCCTGTTCTTCGCTGCCATTCAAGAAATCTAGTGCAACAGTGATATTCAAAATTAGTAATATATTGTACATAGCCTAAGCAATTGAACGAACAAGCAATTAGTTTAACGAAAGGCAAAATGTAATTACATCCCCTAAAACATTGATAAAACCTAAGTCAAAATGTCATTACATCCCCTAAAAAATTGATAAAACCTAAGTCAAAATTAACAATTAATTTAACGAAATTCATGACATTCATTAAAATATACTAAAAAATCGATTTTAACAAAACCAGTACTCAAATTTTTATCTACATTAGTAGTTGAGTGATCAATGTAATTTATAAACACTACTGAGAGAGAGAGAGAGAGAGATCCAATTAATGGTGTGATTTTGATGTTATCTTCCATGTCCCAATCCCACGAGGGTCCATTCCATGCAATAACTGGTGATAGCCATATTTTGGAATCAAATTCACAACAATTAAAGCACTGGAGATGGAGATGAAGATGAAGATTTACCAGAATTGAAGAAGATCATTGAATAAGAAGGTGATAACTATAATATTATTCATTGTATCATTGAATAAGATCAATGATCTCCAGCCAGATTCTGCAGTACGTACGTGGGATGAACAGAAGAAGATGAGTACATTTACACAAGCATGAAGAAGTTTAAGGAATGATCTGAATATGAAAAATCAATACAAATAAAACACATCATTATACTATAAAATGAAACAAAAGTATGATGGCTTGTATTTGTCACTTAGCTGGATATATGAATTAGGACTCAAAAGAGTAAATCCTTATATTTGTTGCTTCTGTTGTATGCATTAGAGCGCTAAGAAGCACGTACATCGAATTATTAAACCCTATACAGAGTGCACGAGATTGGTTGATCTTGGTTTAGGTACTTCACATTCGCAAATGGTCCCAGGTTTCAGTTTATCCTTCATGATTGTTTTAAGAATCTCATTTCAAATTCTACTTGGCAAACAGAAAATGGAGGGACAGTGCCTAATTCTAATTCTGAAGCTAAAAGTTAACATGCTCAGTGCTTCAATGTGCTTCTTATTCGGCAGTGCCTAATTCTGAACGTGTCTTCTGCTTCTCTTTTCTTCTCTCTTTTCTTCACATTATTATTCTTCTCCCAGGGTGAGAACAAAGGGTCAGACATGTCACTCTAATTTCGACATGTCATCTGCAATTCATTAAACACCACTACTCAAACGCACAAAACCCTTTCTTCCACAAAAACTCAACTGAACAAAATACCGTTTACACACCACTACTCAAATCACACAAAACCCTTTCTTCCACTGCACAACAATTCCTACTGCCCAACTGCAGATTTAAAAAAAAATACAAAAGAAGGGAACATCAATGTAGTTAACCTGGATCGTTCGGCCAGTCGGATCAAACGGATTCTCTTCGCAGTAGAGCTGGAGACGTGCGAGGGGAAGTAGAGCTGGAGACGGCGAGGGGAAGTAGAGCTGGAGACGGCGCGGTCAGGCCGCCATTGCAACGGAGCTCGGCATCACCATGGCTTGGAGAAGTCGCACGCAGGCTGAATTTGGGGGGGAAAATGGGGATTAGGGATTGGGGAATGGGATTTCACGTTTGGGCCAGGTGGGGCGGGTACTACATCTGGGCCGGGTAGTGTTGGGTAAATGGGTTTGAAAATGTGTAAGTGAGTGCCACGTGTGCAATTTCAAATTGCTGTGTAAATGGGTGTGTAAATGAGTGTAAGAGTAGCAAAATCCTTAGTCCTGGGGTTACAACTCTAGTTCCAATGACATTAAATAATATGTGAAATTAAATGACCCTCAAAATCGACTCCTCAATTTCCTAATTTGTCTATTTTCCCCTTATCTATAAAAGAATCACAGCAAAACATACTTCAATTTCTTCTGTCATTCTCGGCTATGACACACTGAAACACACACACACACACACACACTTCAAACAGAAAATATTTTAAAGCAAAAGAACAAAATTAGACCTTAAAGGGGCCTGGTTGCGTTTGAGAATTGTTTTCATCGTCGAAGTTTATCCTTTCGAAATCAATGGACTGAGGTAGATTGAGGTCCATGTATTTTATCCCGTTATTGAATTTTATTTTTTAACGTTGTATGTCGAATAGTGCTGAGGCACAGCACTATGGAAAAAAATTTAATTTCAATAATC